AATTTCAAGTCCATCTTTTTCTGGGCAAATCTCATATGCAAATTATTTATTGGCAGTGTTTTATGGAGTTTAGGTGTAACAAATGTAGCTTTCATCACTTTTAATTTGGTATAAATAAATCAGTAAAGTAGTTTGATATTCAGCAGGCCTGTAAACAGGAACATTGATGTCAACAGGGGTCCTGTGTGTGCAGTGATGCCTTTGTTGTTCAGCCAAGACTGCCCCTAATAAATGCAACACAGACCTTAACGGTAATATGGGAAAGAGGTTTCATTGCTGTATTCACTGGGAAAGGAAAGAGAGGTCAGGTTACATCTTCTAAACCACCTGGGTGGGAGGAGTATCTGTGTTGGTGGGGTTGGGAACTCGACTGCACGCCACACTTGGATAGTGTTAAGCCTGACCCTCAGGACTGTCGCATGAAAAGGGCTGGTTTTCTTCATGGCGTTTTTCTCCACTTGTTCCATTTCATTCTGATTTTGTCCGTCTCTCATGTGGAGCTGTTCCTTGGTTTCTTCCGACTAGATTGTAACTGGTGTTTTGACTGGACGTAGAGGCAAAATATTTTAAGAAAAGGCTGCAAAGGGGTGAGACCATTTCAGCTCGCCAACGGCCGTCTGTGGCCACCCTACTTTTGGCCATTTGCTGTGTTGAAGAAGTACATCCCAGTGGATGGCATCCCAGTTAAATGGCAGTTCTCAGCCTTGTGACACTCTCGGTACGTCAGTCAGGAATTATAACCGGTGATGTTTTGGTGGTTTTTGAAAGGCGCGTCCTTCATTGAATTTGCCCCCTTCGCAGTGCTGGGGGTGGGGCTGGGGTGGGATTGTAGAGTTTGACTCACCAATGGGCTTCAGAGAGCTGTGTGGTGCTGTAGTGCTTCCTCCAGAACGACCCGCTGGGATTGTTGGAGCTGCCTGGTTCAAGCACACAGCCACCTAGAAGAAAACAGAGGCGTGAAAAGCAGTCAGGAACAAGCGATAGCTGACAGTTTGGATTGGACTTGAAACTCCTGCAGTGTTATCTGACAAAATTATACTTCGACATAATATTCGGTTTAATTGTGTTGCATAAAATAGCTTACTATATTAAAGACAATATGGTATTGTTAGTAAAGGGAAAATACTTGTGTAATAATTGAGGTGAGGATATGTGTAGTGCTGAATACAAAAATGTGCTGGACAACAGGATCTCCTGTTTATATTTTTTTTTCACAGGGAGACAATGTGATCTAAAAGGCCAAGCTATTTTTTAACAAATAACCAGCTCGCAGAGATGGCATCAATTCTCTTAAACTGGCTGTGCCGTTACACTGCAAAGATTGCTTTCGACTTCAATGGTTGATTGTGTGGGCTGTCCTCATCTGGGCCAAATTGGCCATATCAACACCACATACATACTCGTTATATAAAAATAGCACAGTGGAAAGAAACTGGTTTTACAAGCAGGGACTTGCCACTGAACATTAATATTGACGCCATGGTGTTGATTTTATGAGTTTTAAAATGTTTTCCCCTCTCTGGGCTACACAGGTGCTGACAGCTCCGTTCTGCCTGCTACTGGGGGAATTAGGGCATTCACTAGACAGTGAGGAGCGAAGTCTGCATGTGGTCACTTCTACTTGTAATAATAGAAAATCACACGTAACTGTAGAAAGAGCACATTTGTAGCAGACGTTTGAGTAGGGAGCTGCGTCAGGTAAAGGTTTATTCCATGCTGAAAGGAAAAGAAAAGAGCCACAGTGTTTTGGCTGTGGAGCCTTCTTCGGGTGTGAGGGGGAGAGGGAAACTTGCAGACAAATGGAGCGTGGGAGAATGAAAGAAAAGGCAGGTAAGAAAGGGTGGGGAGCAGGGGAGAATGAATATCGACTCTCAAGGCCAGTGGATCGCCGTGCAGAGAAGGGAGGCAGGTGTAGTGAGAGAAGGGGACAAGGAGCCCAGGGAGGAAGAGGAGGAATGCCGAAAAGATCTAGAAAAGATTTAGTGGAAGATTTAGTCACAGTGGGTCACAGCAGAAGCTGGTTAAAGAACTTCGAGTAGGTAGCTGTGTCAGCCTGTGTAGGCTGTCTGATATTGTCCTGTCCTGTCTTGGTCCTCATGAGCATAACTCTCTTTTAAAGTCATTCAGATTGCCAGTCTATCCCAGTCGGGGAACGGGTCTTGTGCTTTCTGAGATTTCCATATTTACCCAGATTGGCGATTGCCTGACCCGAGGCAGTCATGTGCCTGATCACATTAGCTTTGCCCACAGAAAGCTTAGGCATCTCTCTGCTGTGTTTGACAAAGATGACTTTTGGACAGCCAGTGTACTGGATCATACTGTAAGTTTTTCAAACCAGAGATCACATATGCCTCTGCTGGTCAAAACTACATTGTTTTCAGCCTTTTGACTTATAAAAAGTACTGTGTACTATTGCACAGTGTTTTGTGTTTTTTTCAAAAGTGCTTATCCGTATTTGTATACATCAGAGAGCTTGAACAGGTTGGTAGTTATCCTTGGTAGATATAAGGATGCTTAAAAGTTATATTTAGACAAATGTCAGGTGAACACAGTGCCCTGATTCAGGTTAGTACACATACTGAATCAATGGGACCATTGAGCACGTATTGCTATCGGCAATACATTGTACACTAGAGGGCACTAACTCCACTGGTGTGCATCAGACAGTGCCTTCCTAGGTATAAAATCTGATGGGCACTGGTATTGTCCAGGAGAATCACCGCACTTGTATGTGGACCAAATTTAAGTTCCCCTTGGGGTACAGATTTCATGTTTTAGGAGTCTATATAGGCTAACTGTATAATAGTCCTGTATGCACTTTTTATGTGAAGTGGGCACAGGGCACATGAAGTGGGCACAGGTTTCACAATGGACTGATTGCTGATTCGACTGCAAGACATTCCAGTTCAACCCAGGAGCAGCACTTCTCCGAAGAATCTCTTGCAGGAGTGCAAGACCTCCCAAAGAGCCACTACGAGCTGCATCTCTTCCTCTCTCTTCTTGGTTTGTGTGGAATAAAGCGACAAAGTGCAGCCCAGCCTGTCAGCAACACTTCTTCCCCGGAAGGAGCCCATTGGTCACTAATGAAACAGGCTTTTACTTCTCCCCAGCATGTGACTGCAGAGCAAATTCTGTCACAAAGTAAGGGCAGTTTTTTACTTGTGTGCAGTACACATAGCCTAGGACTGGTGCACTGTCCTGTCTACTGAACCATCTCCTCTAGTTTTTTAATCCCTTATCCTTATCCTGGTGTGTATGCGAAGACTTTCCTTCCCAAGAGAATGTGCCCTACGTGCATCCTAACTGAGTCTGTCTGTTGTGCCATTTAATATGTGCATAATGAACAAAACTGAGCGAGGCTCTTATCCTGACAATAAACTGTTTATCTTGTTCCGTGCTTGGAAGACCGTCTCTTCTGTTGCTAAATTAAACAATCCTCAGGGGTTTCTTTTTTTATTGGAAAATCCACAGGAAGTTGTTTTATGCTCTTACAAAACCAAACTTAATTCATGTTTTTTTTCTCCTTCGTGAAAAAAACCCCAGCAGCAAATGAAGAGAAGACTAACATAATTTTTGTGCTTTTGTGCGCCGAATGTTCTTGTTTACCAGAAAACAGTATGATACTGACCCTAACTAGTCATGTTTTATTTTCTTTCAGGACGAATTGACCAATCCTTTCAGAGATCCAAAGTAATGTGGCGTTTTATTACATTCCTAAAACAACTGTATAGAGTCCTGAAATCCTGAACAGTGTTCTACAAAAGCAGTTTCACATTAATTCTGTAGGAATGAGAATCTATTCTAGTATATACTATGGATTGGACATAAAAATGTCAAGTCTCTTCTCTCTCAGAACCTCAGAACAACATGCTGAGCCTCTTCAATATCAAACACCTCTAAATCCGGGTACGAATGTGTGCATGGATCTTTAACCAGGGACCCTCTTGAAGAAGGATTTTCTCAAACTAGTAAGTGCAGGATTGAGAATAACCAGCAGGAACCTGCACTTGAAATAAGGTTTAATTGTGAAATATTCTGTCTGTATTTAAACACGCATGAGCAGTCTAGACAAAAGAAAGCAACAAAGTGTTTCTCACACGTCTGAACCAGAATAGACCTCTAAATATTGTACGCCACAGGAGCTTTTGAAAGAAGCCGCGTTCTTCTGCTCCAGCTTTTCTCACTGCTTCTGCATGGAGAACTCTATTCCCCACTAAAGCTGCTTCTGCTGCAGGTTTGCAGAAGTTACCCCCAGTTGCTCCTCTTGGCAAGAAACCCCTCTTTGACAGGCTATGATCATGGCCAAAAGAGCCCACGGTCCTACACAACTGAACCAGTTTGAGAACTTTGTCCATGGAGCTTCTCCTTTGTCTTAAAAAGAGAGGTATGCTTTTGAGGCTGAAAGCTGAGCAAAGCTTTATTTTTTTTGTTTGTCCTTATGACAAAGGCTTAACAGTTGTTGTAGACACTAATCTATTGTTCTGTATTGTCTTCTCTTCAGCATTAGCATTAAGTAGGGGGAAAAAAGTTAAAATGATCTTGCATGACTAGAAATGACTAAAATCCAGGCTTTCTGTCTCTCTCAAACCACGGTGCCCAAGGCTATGACGCACTACATTTTTTGTTGCACTGTATATGTACACATTTTACACAAGTTAATCCAACATCCGTGAGTTTTACAGGAATAACCAATCCCTGTGGAGTAAGAGAGCTTTATGTGGCATAAAGTGTTACAATCATGTGCCCCTGGCATTCCCTTCCCCCTCAACATCTTAAAAGGAATACTTAAGAAACAGTAGAAACAAGTTTTTTTTTTTAAATTGTGAGATAATACTCCACTGTCTGAAACCTAGCAAAAGCTTAGGCTAAGTCTGGAAAATTCTGAAGTATGCTAGATGAATCAGCAAGCGCAGACCAGTCTTAAATACAAAACAAGACTTTATTTCTAAGAAAGAAAATATATTTAAACACAGAAGTAGCCAAATAAAGTGGAAAACGAGTTTGGGTTTCTTTCAATTTATTCCTTCAGAGACACATTTAAGACATGTTAATGATCATGTCATGACTGAGAAAACAAACAAAAGCAGTCTTACAGCATGAGCTCAAATAGTTTTAATTATGTTGCTTTAAAAACTACATCATTCACACAATGCATGTATCACAAGCATTTAATATCAGGAGTTTGTATATTACATCGACGAAATAGCAATTTACATAGAACAAATTTAAATAAACAAACACGATTTTGATGCTTTTAGCATAAGGTAATAGCAAAAACCAGACAAAATGAAGATAAGGAAGTTTTCTTTCTTTAAAAGAAAAAAAATCTATTGTGCTTTCAACCATTTCCAGCTGCAGAGAAGGCAGTTGATATATTCTGATTGGTCATTATTTGCAGCCAATCTAGCTTTCCACCAAATAAAAGGCTATGAAATGTTTCTGTTTCCTCTACTAGAGGACAAACACAAAAGCATTCATGTTGCATGTCTCAAGGCAGAAAAAAAGAAATGGGATTAAAATTTAGTTTAAATTTACGTTGTTGTTGCACTGCTTCGTCCTCATAATCCATAATAAGGAAAAGCTTCACTCTTTGCATATCTCAAAGATGGGAATGGCTGTAGTACGCTTGCATAGTTTCCGAATCTCTGAAAAGAACAGGCATGATTGTCTGTCGAATTGAGGACAGGGTACCTCTGACCACACGTCCTGCCTTTGTATTTCCTGAGTAAAACAAGAGAATTTGGCCTTTATTTTTCTCCTCAAAGAGGGGTTCGAGAAAGCGACCGTTTTCAGATTGGACTGAGCCATTATGTTAAGTCTACTGGGTCTCTGCCTGCAGCAAGTCATAACAGCACAAAACTTGTCACCCCCCCCACCCCAACCTGCACACAGTCAAGCAAGAACAATAAAATCTACGAACCACACACAGCCACCAGCCGTGGCCTGTTTCTGTGTTACAACTGTCCCGCTGCTCAAATCTCTCTCATGAAAGGCAAATGTGTACAATAACAAAATGCTTAAAATGTGTAACCCGACACCCCTGGATAAGTGCTACTGCATCATTCATATAGAATCTGTACATATATATTAATGTGGCGGTGAGCCTCCAGCTCCCCCCCCGCAAAATAAATAAATTACAAAAAACAGAACAAGAGAAAGACGGAAAGGCTTCAAATTATTAAGGGTTATACAGGACATGCAGCCCCATCTCACAGGGGTGTGAAGGTCTCAAGACTTTGCGTAACAGTATATACCACACCACGACGGCTCTCTTTGGGACATTGATCAAGAATGCAGCCCACTGTTTTTTTCCATCAGCTTCTGAGCATTATCAATCAGCACAGAAAGGCTTTCACAAGAGGAGTTTCTAGTTCACAAAATGGAAAGCAAGGTATTTGTAGTGTGTTATGAATGTGCAGTGCGACCCCTACAGTATAGAGGTATCTTACCGGATGGTCTGAAACCGAACACTGTAAACTGCAATGTACTGGTTCAGACACTTGACTTTGTTATAGTGCACTCACAACACAAGGCAGCAGTATTGGCAATTTACTGTGCAATCACGGCTTTGTGCAACTCCCAGAGAGATTTTGTGCAATTCTGTTGCTGGGAAGGAAGAGAAAAAAAATGGATTTTAAAAATTAAAGCAATCATGGAGCTAATACTCAATCCGAGTGCAAGGATTTTATTCATTGCTGCCTTTTAACTCTACCAGTCTCAAGTGGATTTAAATTGGAATGGGGTATAATTGTGTAGCTTTCTAAAGTAAATCAAATCCTTTCCTAAACACCACCTATGTCAGACATTGCCTTCCGAGAACATGTGCTTAGAAAAAATTGTAAGCAAATTATAGTGCAAAGCAAAATATATTTTGGCAACTTCAGGGATCATTCTGATAAAACACAGAGTGATGAATGATACTTTGGACCAGCATATAATCACAAGAAATTACACACAATCTACCGGAACATATCTCTAGCTATTCAGCTGAAAATAAGGAGCAAAATCTTACTTTTTTAATCTATGCTGACTGAACCGAGGAAGAGCTTGTGTTGTGATTCTAGTTTTGCTCTTTCTAATTGCTAAATGATCAGCATTTTTAGTGCATGTGAGCTGAAATGGAAAACAAGCAACTTTTTTTCTTTTTTTTTAATTAATCTGAAATATATTACAGTAGCCCAAATTCTAATTTATCTCCAAATAGAGACACCTTCAAAATCTTAGACCCAGAAACACATTTTAAGTGCACATTTCTTCTCAAATAAATAAAAATATATATATAAATGTCCAGTTTAAACAAATCGAGCTCACAATAGTAAAATGCCCCAAATAATAACATTAAGAATTTATCAAAGAAGAAGTCATCTCTGATTTTAAAATAAACACTGCACCTATTCATCATGCATTTCAGAATTGTCCATTATTATTGAAATGCTGAGAGATGAATTATTAAATAGAAATATCAATGTCTGTTCTTGGCTTTACCAGTTTGGGCGCAAATAAAATTGCACTGTTTACACCTCTGAAGATTAAAAATGTTTAATGGACAATACAACTTACCAAACCTATTTGTACAATTACGTTACAGCCTCTCTCTCACACACACATTATGATTTAAGCTTAATGTTGGGGCGCTCATAGTTAGGGTGGTGACACACCTAAGCCCTTGTCTCTTGTTGTGTTTTACGGTGAATTTAAGCTGCTTCAGAAGATATAATACAACCTACATTCTTTTCAGAGACAGGATATGAGCAATAGATTTCTAGGGTTTTTTAGAGAGTTGTTAAATATTTTGGAAATTTAAAGGTGTCTCTCCAACACTTATTTTTTAATGATTGCACATATCCAAAGACTTTGCAATGATTATGTACATCACCACAGGCTTGACAACTTAAGTGAGATCCCTGAAAGGTCTTTGGGAATCGCGTTTATAAGTACAAGGCAGTTTGTATAGCTTGTCTTCCATCTACCCAGCGTGACTCAAATGTGATTTCCCCTGATGTGATTGCATGGTATTGATCAAAGCTTCGCTTTAAAGAAAAAAACAGCAGCTCTTTTTAAGGTATCAGAAAACCTTGCCAATCATTTTGGAAGTGACCAGAGGCAAGTTTCAGGCACTTGCTGGGGGGAAATCTAACTGTGTTCTTTTTAAAACCGAAGACCGTTCATAAGATGCTCTGCTTGTCTGGTTGTGCCTGATTACAGGGTTAAAACTGTGAACGGCGAAGGGAGAGGATCAGTAGCCCTGATTGAAAAGTTAGTCTGAAGGCAGAAGGTGAGAAACGGTTTGTGGTTTTTTTTCCACAATCCAGCTTTTCAATCATAGAATAAAAGAAACAATCATCTTTGGTTATATCATTACACACGATCAATATGTACATTTTAGTTTCACGTACTCCTTTACTGAACTTGAGGCACACTTTCTTCTCATGGCCTTTTTTTGTTTTTGTTCTCCGAGTCTCGAAGGAGCAAATTCTTCAGAAGCGAGATCTGAGAGCCTGTCAAATAAGAGTCTTGCTCGTGGCGGCTGTTGTTGTGTTTTTCTTACAAAGCCTCAAACATCTGGCAGGCGCGTAGCTCGAATGCGGCCAGCGAGTCCGAAAAGGCAGAAGTCTTTGGTCAGGTTTCAATGGATAAAGCTAAAAAAAGATGTAAAATGCGAAATGACAAAGTACAGTCACACATGCGGTAAGTTTTTTTTTTCCTCTCTTTTCTTTTTTTTTTTTCGCTGCTCCAAACTCTTGTTCCTCTAGTACGGCCGCCACACGGTCTCGTCCATCCTCCCTGGGGTGGTCATTGTTGTCGGGGAGTTGCTATGGCTACCGTCGGCCTCGATGCCGTCACTGTGGCTCGTCAGGTTTGTATTCATGAGGTTGTTGCCCGTCGTGGCGCTGGTGCAGGAGGGCAGCATTCTGGTCGGGGACCGCTCGCCACCGGCGGTGACCATGGAGAACTGGTAGGAGCCCGAGCCCGTGCCGTAGTACAGGTGGTAGGGAGAGGAGTTGGTCTGGAAGGGCCCGCTCTGGTTCTGAGAGGGGCCCGGATAGGGAGGAGGCAGGTACGTGTGGTACCGGGAGGACGCCGACATGCTGGTCATGCTGATGCCCCCGATGCCGGTGCTGGAGGGGCTGGCGGAGTAGGTGAAGCCCGGGTAGTGCATGCGGGGGTCCGAGAACCGGGGGTCTGCGAGGGTCGACAGTGAGGGGAACTGCCGGGGGTTGGAGAAGATGTCGGAGGTCCCTGCGCAGGAAGAGAAGAGAACGAACATGAGCTGGAAGAATAACTTTGGGGGGGGGGGGTCAGGAAAACAAATCCTCTGTTTCTCCCCTCGGCCAGAATTCATTTTTTTCCGACTGTTACTCGCGGAAAGGGTGCCCAAACCCTCATGGAGCAAAGCAATTTCTTTGGGGGATAAAAATGTTCAAGGCCGGCACCGTTTTCTTTGGATTTATCAGCTATGCAGATTCTGGTTGATCCCTGAATGCTTTTATTTAAAAAAAAGGGTCACTTTCTGAGAAGGATTAGTGAATGTGGAAGAAAAAGTTCAAAGGAATTATCGGAAAATTAAGTACAGACATTTCAATCAGTCAATCAGACAAGAGTCTTGGCAATTCCTTAAGTTTGTACATATTTTGGTAGAACTTTCCAAAGTGTTATTTCTGAAATGGCTTACTGACATTAATCCTGGGTCTAACACTGCAACTATCAAGAGTGTTGGGATTTGATACAAGTGCTCTTAATGGAATAACTCAAAATCTGCAGTTGTTTTCTTCTGTTTTTGCTCCTGAAAGGAAACAGGAACTCTGACAAGCACACAGCCCTTTGACTCGAATTATAAGTGATTTCTCAGAGATTTTTGCAGTGGAAGCCCAGCATAATGGAATCCAGCTGCAGATTTCTGTTTAGTCATCAGAGGTTAAAACACATGATTTGGGTAAACGTAAGTGCAAAACGCAGGAGAGGCTATAAAGACAAGGTGCTAAATGTATTTTTAAAAAATGAACATGCTCTTACAGGTTGCGACACAACCAAACCAGAGAGAGAAAAAAACACATAAGAGAAACTGTCAAAGTCTATCTCATTTTAAGCAATTAAGTTCTGAAGCTCAGAAACACTGTTTTTTTCTCTTCAGGCTGCATCAATAGAGGCATTGTGAGCCGAGAGCAGCATGCTTTATAAACAGTGACAACTTGTTTGGCTGTTGTGTAACGTTTGCAATAAATATAAAGGAAGAACTCAAACAGGAAACCGTGCAGCCAGTGCTCTCGGTCATACAAGCACGCAAAGCAACTTCGCAGAAACGAGAGGGAGGGAGAAGACGCCGATGCAAACAAACAGGGGATACTCTGGAAAGGCTCAATGCAGCTTTTTCAATTGTTACATTCATAGAAATTATTGTCACCGGCACTGAGCGCTCCAAAACACTTTCAACAACTCGACTTTCCCACTACAATTTGAACGACTTGTCTGTATGATACATGGGGGGTGGGTTTAAGATTAAATCTGACTCTTAAATCTGCCACAAGTGTGCCAGTTTTCGCAATATCGGTAGCACACCCTTTACCTCAGATGACAGCTCATAAGAAGAGATCGCTGACTAGATGTTGTGAATACTGCACACTTGGGCTACACCAGCGAAAGACCAAAGTCAAAGGCTGAGGTGAAATTCTGCAACTTCAGATGCGTGGACTGGAGTGGCCTGGAACAGATTCCAGGCATATCTGATGAGCACACGGGGAGGAAGCATGCAGACTCCAAGGAAGCAATCATTGCACCGTGGTGCCACCTAGCACAACTGCAAGAAAACAGCAGGCAGACTTGGATCCAACCCCTGTTTCTGTGTCCTGTCACAGCAGCCGACACGTCTGATGAATAGGCCAGCTGGAGCATGATACTCGTGGATCAAGGTCCGAGAAACCATTGAAGGCTCTGAAAGTGTACTCCCATAAAAAGCACTGCTAATCTCGTTCATCTATCAGCAACAAAAAATCGTCTAGGTTTTTCCCTTTGTAGAATAAATGTGACATGTTTTAACACTCCACACCGCCCCCGAGATCTCCCCCCTGCCTCGCCCTGTGTAGTGTAGCATTTCAGTGACTAATGAGGTTAGAAGGTACACCTGGCCAACCCCAGTCCTGGAGAGTCACAATCCCGCCGGTTTTATGGGTCACTCTTAAATCATCCATTTCTAAGTGCATGTGACAATTGTGCTTTGATCGCTGAAACAGGTGATGTGATCAGTGAAGTAGTTTAGAGATCATTTGACATGGAAGTTCAAATATCTTAAGGTCTACAGCTGGCCATTCCTGACTATACTGGAGCTATTAACTCTCTACATTGATCAAAACTCACCTGTTCCAAGTCTTAACCAAGTGATAAATTTGGTGATTTAATTGTGAGCTAAAAGACTTGCTGAACTGGGACACTCCAGAAGCAGGGTTGGAGATTCTTGTTTTGTATCATGGCCAGAGAGCACTAGATACAGTAGGTTTCATGTTTGGAATTTTAAATGATCATCCCCCCATCTTGTTCCATATAACCGGGAACAGCAAACATCAAAAAGCTTAAAGGTCAAGACTTGCAAACCCAGCAGCCAAACACGATCCTTGATTTACTCTGTAGAATTTGTCTGTTGTATTTTTTTTTTTCCTGGAGCAATAAAACTTTTTCCCACTGTCTTGCTGGTGACATTTACACATAAAGAGTGTGTAAAACTTGAATTTCTAAAGATAAAAGGGTGTGCTTTCTTTCCAGAGGGATGAGTGCACGCAAACCCCCTTGCATGCCAACAACTATTTAGAATATCTCATCTTAAGTCTCAAGAATTTGGTTTGCTTTGCAAATGGCTCATTGCAATTTCCACGGCTTTTAAAAAAAATCGACACAGGATCTTTTGCAGTCAAAATTCTCTCTGCTTCTGTTTGTTTTGTGAAGAGCCCGTGGTATAGAGTAAGTATCTGATTTCATGCAAGCAGAACCCATGGACTGTACTGTTGTTGATTGGGAGGAACTAGTTCACCCACTAAGTCCTTCAGGGCTCCTGAAAACTAGAACAGGTTTTCTTTTCTCTAAATACCGGCTTAATGCTGAGCTTCCCAGAATAAAATGACAACTGTGGGCTTGGAAGAATCCTGATGTTACCTCCTTAAAAACACTGAATGTAGTTTGTTCTTCCTCCAACAGGGAAGCATGCTTAATCTCTGTTCATTGCCACTCAAATGTGTTGTGGAGGGATGCTCAGAACAGAATTTGGGATATTGTCAGATTTCAATGCTCTGTGCAGCAGAGGTGAATTAGTGTTGTATTAACAACATTGTGTGCTAGAGCTGGTTTCTCAGAGCCAGGGTAGTAAAGGGGTCTGCTTGGCATAAAAGGACAGCACTAGACTACTCCAAAGTTGTCCTAATATGCAGTTGTGTTTGGACGATTTGCTTATGATAGAAACTGATTTGTTAGTTAACATAAGATGCAATATTGGCTTTAACAGAATTCAAATCTCTGCCATTCACCTGCGAATTGTTTTTCTAAGCTTAATGCAAAATGCCATAGGTATGTATTACACATGGAAATTTTTCAGATGCAAATGTGCAGAAACAGAAGCCCTAACCTCAGACTGTTGGCTTTCAAGCAGGATTTTCTTATTCTTTTTCATTCCAGACCACACATTTTTTGAAAGGGATAACTGCACCTCGATCATGGCTGTGTCCTCAAGATTATGCACAGTGCTGAGGCTTAGCTTCAGGACTCAGGACTAAAATATTTCTACTATTACCATTTCTATATGTAATAAGGCAAAACTGTAGAGGAAGAAAACAACCAAAAAGATTTTAACCACTAAAGAAACTCAATGATAACATGGAACACAGTATAGAGAGGTCACCAATGAAAATAAAACAGGGGACAGAAAATTGCAAGCTGTTGTGACAGCTTACAGCTGTCAGTGCTCTATTCAAACCCTATCTTCTTTATAGTTTACTGCCATGTTGCAATAAGGAAATACGACTATGACTATTATGTGTTAGTTTCAGGCAGTGCCACAGCTCTGACACAGCTGAAGTAAGCAAAACAAAGTCTGATTTCATGTGGGAGCAGAACCGCAATTGGTCAGGGCCTCCATTTCCACATGAAAGCACCACTGCTTTTCAGGCTTTTTCTCAAACTGGAAATCAGGAGTGCCCTGTTGCACTGTTTACGGTGGCTGTTCCCAATCCACGGTCTCACGACTAAAGAACTAAAACTAAAGAAATGTGGGGATACTCCTGCTTCCCACTTCATTAAAAAAATTAGGTTATGGCGGTGCAGCTCAGGAATTCTATAGTAACACCTCCACAGACCAAAAAAAAAAGAGCCATCTCTCTCCCCCTCATTAGCTGACACAACAACAATCCTTTGAATTGTCTCACGCCCACACTTCTGTCTTCCAGCCTAGACGATGCATCATCCCTGCAGTTTTAGTCAAGCAAAATTCCAGATAAATTGAACTAATAAATAACAATTCTGTATACTCACTGCCATATGTTTACACGGAACACCAGATACCAAGATGTGACTCATCTGACTAAAAGATAGTAGAACTGACTGAGGGGGATGATTCAGTACAGAGGCACTTTCAGCTAATCGGAACACGACCAGCAAGTCAAGAGAAAGAGATGGAAGTGTGCCAGTGTGGTAGGTTATTTGAGGAATGTCCTGGGAAACAATACCTAAAGGCAATCTAAACATTTTTAAGTGCTGTCTGTGCTGAGAAAAAGAACACCCTTGAGAAATTGAAGCCAGGAGGAGGTGTGAAGAATTGAAAAAAATACCGACCCTTCCACACTGAACAGGTAAATGAATAGCAGATGTTTGTTTGTAAAGTGGGATAATCGACAGAGCAATGCTGTTGGTTTGGCTGTGATTCATCGTTGTGTTAAACGGTGTATGAATGCCAGTGTCATTCTTAGAGGTTTTGCTGTCAAAGAAGCAGTGCGCCCTGTTTTTGCTTGACAATTATGTCGAGCTCTCAAAATAAGCTCCATGTGGGAAAACTAAAAATAATTTAGTGTTAGCACAAGATGGCCCTTCAGGCACTAACCTCTATCCAAGCCAAATTCAGCTATCTTTTCCAAACTTGTTAAGACAAACTAGTAATTGTGTCAATTTGCAGTAGCTCACCACACCCCCATGCTTAGACTGTGATTGGGCACTCCTAGACCTCAGCGATGACATGAGATGACACTTAATTCCACACTAATTGAAGCAAAAGACAAAGTAATGGAAATAAATTTGTCTGTGTGGACCTTTTCAATGTCTACTCAGATAAGGTCAGAAGGTGTTTTCCTCATTTTATGTTTGGAATTGGCAGCTGTTTTTTATACCACTCCCTCTCAATTTTGAGTCCACACTTTTGTCACTGAACTTGGCTTTATTCCAGCAACCTTCATACCAGCTCTGGGGGCTGGGAGGGGGGCTGTGCGTGTTGGCCTCTGAAACCTGTTATTGGGGTTGCATGCTATGAGCCCCACAGTGACAGCAGCTGAGTTAGCACCAACTGGAGGAGGGGTGCAGCTCTCACTGACACCAATGGCAAGATGGGGTGCACAGAGGGTCGATGGGTTCACTGTTGTTTGACAGGCCAGGTGTGTGTGGCCACTCAGGGACTCCCAGTGTCGTTTGCCTAATGGCAATGCTCAGCCTTGAAGCTGTCTACTGATCTACTAGTCTTAAGTTCATCCTGAGGAGGAAAGCGAAAAAGCACTGGCCTCATATCATTGAGTTTGCTTACCTGACCATCTCAGATCATCTTCCACCTTGCATGTTTTTAAAGGTAAACTGGGAGGGTCAATTTGTTCAGTCCACAGAGCTGTAAATATTAAAATAGCGCATTGATCATTGAGCACAATACTTCATTTAATGCTAATGTTTCTAAGTCTGTAATCTGCTAAGTCTACCATGAAAAGTTACATTTTGGAACAGAAATGAAGTGCAAAGCTTGCTACGAAAGTTGCAAAAGCTGACATGAATTAATATTATTATTGCTCTACGTTTGATTGTTATATCAAAACTTGTACAAATGCATTCACAGCACCTTAATTCTCAGCAACTGATTGCTTTTTAAAGTATTGCTACTCCTGGAAGCATAGAATTTGCATCTGAAGAAATCTGAATCTGGTCATCACGTATTTACGCTAATGCAAGAAAAAAGGCATAGAGCATTGAATGTTCAATTGTGTTTAAGAACAAAATGGTCAAAATCTTTTAGAATGAAAATGACGGTGAATCTCTTAACAGTAGTGCTGTGTACTGTGCAGTTCATAGGTCTGTATGAGGGAAGATATACAGCCAGATTATGTGAACTTGTTGCTTGTTGAGAAAAGGAAAATGGTGTCAAAACATATGAAGACATCCCAGAGGCATCATAAAGAAATTTTAGCTAAAACGTCACTAAAGAAAAAAACTATTAATGAGAATTTGTCAGGAGATGGATTGATTATTTAGCCTTCAGTGCCTTTGTTAAATATAAAAGGGACAGAATGCCTGTCCTCTTTTATGGTTGTATGGTTCATCTTTCTGACATACAAGCTTACGTCAAAAATGATTCAACAAACACTTTCGTTCCTGGTAAAAAATGTGATGATCCTGCCACAGGCATCTGCCAATTAGACATGCAAATAAAATCTGCTTTTGCTTTAGCTGTTTCAAGCGATTCTACAGTGCAAAGGAAATGCAGACAGACCTATTTTTAAAAGCATAGACCTAATAACATTTAGCACAATAATAAAGTCTTCTGAAAGAAGTTGTAAGATTATTTCTCCTGAATGTCACCCTTCAGTTAGTGAATTTACATGCTACATTGAAAGGTATTGTCAGGGATCGTTCACAATCTAATCTCAGAAAGAGTTAAAACTCTCCCTGGCATGCTCCATTTATCATATTTCAAAATCTGTTTCCCTTCCCTGGTTTCCAACAGAAGCCAGTTTATAGATCTGGGGAACTTTTGTTTGATAGATATATGGTAGTTTTTTTAATTAATTAATTAATGAATTAATAAATAATTAGTTTGGAGCTCTGAAGCAGAAAAAACAAAAGCTTGCACAGGACTCGGGATTTGTGTGTGGCAGTCAAGTCTTCCTCTGCGGTATGTACCCCAGATATCTGCTTCACTGCAAGTGGTCAGCACCTGGGGGTCAGCAGAGAGCTGCTTTGGTCAAGGCTGAGAGCCAGTCAGAGGTTTTCGTCTCAGCCACATTCAACAGGCTTTTAATTCTTTCTTAAAAGCAGCAGCTTTTCCTCTAAAATCTGGGGTCAACATTCAGATGCTTGGTAATCTGGTCCCCCTCTTCACAATGGCAAATTCTTACATATAAATGGGGTCATTCAGTAGGTGCAGCAGCTGGTGTGATTTTGAGAAGAAAATAAACATTTCCTTCAAATATTTTGATTGGCAAGCAGACAACTTCAATACCGAGCACAGATTGCCAGTTAACAGAACAGCACAGGGTGGACCTCAGTGTGGCAACCGCTGTATTCTCAGTGTGAACGTGCATAGCTGTTCCTGGCTGTTCAACACAAATTCTCCTAAAATGTCCCTCCTTTGCACGGCCTTGTCAAAACTCACATTTACTTTTTACTGAAAGTGGATGGTTTTGTCATCCTGTGATTGGGGAATCAGTGTCACTGGGAATTTATTTTAGCAGGGTGCCATTCTGGTTTCTGTAATTAACCATACCATTGAAACAACATGAATATGAGAGCTTCCTGTTGTAGGTTCTTGCAAAAGAGGGAGAACAACACAACATCTCGGATCTTGGGATCTTTGGAATGGAATCTTTGGCTGGTTGCTCATGCTAAAAATGGTTATCTTACTTTCCTGTACTTAATACAAAATGCAAAAAATTAAGTTATTTTTCCATTAGATACTTGTAGCTAAATTCCTAGGACCAAAACTGGTGGCCATTATTCGTGTTCTTCTATGTAGAAAATACAACTAGCCAAAGCAAATATTTAAGAATAATATTTTCCCACATTCATTTAAAAAAATAATACAAACTCTCTTAGGAAAAATACATTAATCACCTTTTGAAACACTGGAAATTTCAGTGACTTTTATGCTGTAATTTCATTATTCGCTGGAAGCCGCTTCAGTTTTCCAATTGGGAAGGAAAACTGCCATTTTCCTTTGGACCGTTTGAAATTTTGTCTTAAAAAAAGACAAAACTTCGAAAACAATGCACAGGGATAAATAAATAATAGGCCACGGATTCTGAAAGCACGGTAACCTTCCAAGCAAATGTATCTTGGCTGGGATCTGCAAGCTTTTGAAAGTCGGAATTTGTAAAACCCGGTTCGCTGCACCTCTTTTTGGCTTATTTTTTGGCCTCAAAACCACTATGTGGCTTTGGCTGTGAAAAGCGGGCATTGCTATTCAAATGAATCCGAACGCTGGCTGCTGCTGTGCACTCTTGCGTTCGACCATGCACAGAAAGAGCAGAGCCACACAGGGCTGCTTCTGAGCTGCTCTGCCCTTCGACAGTGCTGGAATGCTGGGCGGCATGCATGGATCCCTACCATGGTCGCGAATGAACAGCAACAAAAACCAAGCACAAACAGGAGCACTCTCCAACCCCATCAGGACAGGCTCTGTGCGTTCCCTGCTGTCTGCCCTTGTACAAACACACACACAGCTGAAGGCAAATTAAGACAAACCCAAACCTGAAGTGGGAGCCTGCTCTAATATTGCACTTTTAATATTTACACTCTGTTGCACAAGCTCCCCAGACAGTATGGTGCAAGCCCATGGAACCTGTTACACGGCTGTGTCTGCAAATGCACCGATAAATCAGGTTTAGTGTTAAGAAACTGGCTTGTCTCATTTCCAAGATGTTTTTCGGCTGCTCATCAACAGGAGCACAAACTTAAAGCTGTCCTCTTAAAGCAAACGCAGTTTGCTTGCCACTCCAAAAAAACCTGCCTGTTACAAAGTTACGCTGCCTGAGCACTGAGTGTTTCATAATGGGATCGAATCCCGATTCATACAAAACATCACGTAATCAAAGAAAATAATCTGATGGCCTCGATACTAATAATCAACAGCAAATAGGACAAAGCTTCACAGTTGTGGTCAATGGATCTGTTAAATACTCAACTGACTTCTTAGGTAAAATTCATAGCAAAGTCACATTGACTGCTTTCTGTTGAGTTAAGTGGATGAGAGAGCATTTCACCACCCCCACCAGTGGATGGGACACTGGTCCAGTGCAGGGATCACCCCTCCAGCTATGCTGGTCCCTACCTATACAGCTGGCTGGACTGGAGCCACTGGGGTGCAATACCTCACTCGAGGCACTACAGCACAGCAGTGTCTGCACTGAGGACTTGCTTGAGCCCACAAGTCAGGTGTTCAAAGCCTTGCGCTCAATGCTGTTCTACCCCACACTCACTCTTTACCTAAATCTAAAATTAATGAAATTAAAATGTCGACACTGGTATGACCCACATGAATGCAACAGTGTGCACTTGCATGTGCAAAAGACGTTCTATATCCTGAACAGGGTAATTCCGGTTAAAAAACAAGTAGAAGAAAAGCTGTGAGTTTCACTGGTGAGTCCCAACTGGCAGCTACAGGAAATACTGCAAGCGTGTTTATGAACTGCGTCATTACTGAGACTGTCGCCGTGTCTCTGTTTATTTGGCAAGCTTATTTGTAATAATTTGTCACCGAGGAAATGTGCTGCTGTGTTGTGTGCTTTGTGATAGGACTTTAAAATTCCTGAGAACAGCACTCAACAATTCTGGTTGTTCTTGTGCATGAAGTTGGCTTAAATGTCTATTTCCTATTTCAGAATTTCAGCATAACTTAGAGGGGGGAGGGCATCTTCATAATTATGATTATGATCATTATATCGAGAGGTACTAAAATCACAGCACACGAGTACTGGAAATGCTTTTGCTGCATTTTTACATCTCAGTTTAATTAACATCCTGTACAGCTGCACAGGAGTACTGCTGAGGACTTTGGATTTCGACCCAGTCGGGTCATGGGTTCAAAACCAGGTGGAGCACTGCTGCTTTTATCCTTTAGCAAGTTTCTCCCCTCGGAATGGCCTGATCTATTAGTGGGCACTCTCACTGTAAGTGAGAATTCATTCTCTCCATTGAATTATCTTGTTAAAGGACTAAAAAACAGTCCAACATACTGCTACATGTATTAGAGGACTCTACCAATGTAAAACATATGACAGCCATCGGACATCTTGCAGCCTCTAGAAGAGAACAGAAGGCTCGCATACTAGCAAGTAAGAATATTAAAGTAAATGTTAAAATCGTAAGAGAAAGGCAATCCTAAGATTAGGAAACTGCTTTTAAAATATAAGTTTGATGTGTAAGGATCTCGGACTGTTCGTCTCTGTCCAGCTTTATCCTTTGCCACCTGTTATTATTTTTCAAATGTACCTGGAGTAACCAAACAATTTTCTTTTCACTTCTAATTTAATTCTCAGTTCCCGACAAAGGTGTGCATGGATTGCCATACTTGAAAACAGAACGACTCCATGTCTGGAAGACCAGAACAATAGTCTGAAACCCAGCATACATTAAGAAACTGGTTTCGAGACAAACATTTTCCTCGTGTATGTTGGCCTTGTTGTCGTGTTCCCCAAAACAAGGAAACATGTTTCCTGGAACAGACCCAGCATCTATTCTCCAACAGCACACCTTTCAAGAAACATTGACCTGTAGCCAATCAGGAAACGCACAGCGGGCACGAGATCTCGGGTCACATGACTTTGGACGACGGCATCATCCGTAGAAGATACCACGGTTTGCAACTGTTCAATGTTTTATTATTTTTTTATTACTATTCAGCACTGTATCTGCGCCTCCCCATTCTTTTACAGAGTCTTAGGGCAGTAAATAGTGTAGCGCATTGCAATAAAGTCAGAAAAAAAGTGCGCAGCCAGACAATATAAATTGATCTTGTCGATGCACGCATCGTAATGAAACTTAATTGGAGTGCTGACTGTGCTGCACTAGAACTTGCGACATCAACGTATAATTGGCTGTCTCAGTGGAACAATGTTTCTTGGATGTGTGTTACATATTACAGAGTATGTCTTAGAGAGAATTCAAAGTTTGAAAGCCCAAACATAATTTGGCGCTTTAGACGATAAAGGAGGAATTTAAATAATCTGTGAAAAGCTAGTAACGTTGTTTACTGTATCAAAAGGTGTACACCATCACCTGTTCTTCAATTGCACACACCCTGAGCGCCAAATGAGTGGAAGTTATATTTTTAAGGAGCATGCACTGTATTATGTGACATTACCAGCTTAACGCAATTGTGTCTAACAGCGCCTTATGAAATTCAAGCACCGTAATTTCGACTTGCTTATTCTATTTAAAAGTTAAACTTTAAAGCTGTGGTCTGTGTGAATTAGGAAATATGTTTTTCGGGATAACCGGTATTCCTTAAGAAATAAGTAATTATGATGTGTTGTAGACAGTGGAACGGTTACGCTATTTAAGCAAACAAAAAAAAAGCGTGGGTTTTAATTGTAGGAAACTTAATTTCTCTGTTGAACTGTACACGCGGTTACACAATCAAGCAAAGAGTCTGAGGTCTGTTAAGATGACACAAAACGCAGTGTACAACTGTTAGGTTTCACAGGGTACACATCATTATTAAAAACATTCGATACAGATAAATGCCTGTGTTTAGTGTAACTTTATAGTGTAAATGGTGCTCGTCGAGTAAACTTGTGTATAAAACAAAGGAAAAAATGACAAAAAATAACAGGCTAGACATCTCCCTGGGTTAAGTGTAAACCAGCCACTTAACTTTTTTCAACCTGCTCCTTCTGTTGTTTTCCCTATTGGTTGGTGTGCACAGAGACCGTCCCTGTGAAACATAGGCCAGCCTCCCTTCAAACCACAAATGCACCCATAAATAGGGGAGGCGGCTGCAAAATACCTGCTGCAAAGGCTCATTTCTTAATTATTATTTTCTGATTGCCCATGGGAGGAAAGGCGTAAAGGTATTATGCAAGATTAAGGTATGTGGTTTTGGGTTCATTTTTCTCCCCAATAGTCCCTAAGCCTGTGCCAAGTGTTACTGCATACTACAGCATCTACACAAACCACAAACCTTCTCGTTCCTAATTGCTGCAGGGGTGCATTATGGTTTAACCAACATTTTAATGTGCTAAGTCTGCTTAATACGTATTTGTCATCATATAGGTGCTTTTAGTAATGCCTCAGCAACCCAGTAAAACAGAACTTAAAAATAACTGCCTCCCTCAAGGCTTTAGGTACCTAGTAAAAAAAAAAAAGAAAGTGTCATGTTTTAATGTATGATCTGATGTTGAAAAGTTTGCTTGAAGGCATAACATTTTAATAGTAAACAAAAGCAGACAGATTTTGGGGGCATCTCAGGAGAGCCATGGTCACAGTACAAAATGTTAACTTTTGGGATGTCGACAGGCCCCTGTAAATGTTTCAATAAAGAGGCTAAAAACGACAGGAGGTCATTTGGTCAGTCTAGTTCATGTGGTTGCTAAGTAGATAAATGGTCCAAGCATCTCATATGCAACCTTGTCTTGAATGAAACCAGGGTATGAGCTTCATCAAAATGGCAGGGTAGTTTGTTCCACACTCCACTTTAAATGACTTCCCTGTAGTTTCTGCTTGTGCCCTGCGCTATTTCACTGTTGGTTCTGAAGACATTCTCTGGATTGACTATGTCAGTGCCTTTGCCTTTTGGCAAGGTTTCTGACTATTTGTTACTGGAACCCCTCACAGTCTTCTCTGTCAAGACTAAAACATTCTTCTAGCTTGTCAGAGCAGGACAGTCCTATTTTAGTAATTGTATTGTATATAACATACATTGCTATTCTCTGGTTTAGTTACCTTTTCTGTAACATGGTGACCAAAAATTGTACACAATATTCTAAATGACGTCTTAATAGTGCATTGCACAACTTTAACATCCTTTCATTTAAATTCTCTACTATTAACTATATATCGTAATGTTCTGTTACAAATATTTATATATTATCTAGAAAATAATGTTATTTATGAACCTTTTTCACAGCTTGAAAAAGCAATTGGCAGAGTGACATTAAAATATAAGATTTGTGTTTTAAAAAATAATTACATAAGATTCACAAATATATGGGACATATATATATGGGGCATAACAGGTGATTCTTTCCCCTTAGGTCTCCATATGTGATATAACTTGTATTGAGGACTCTGTAACCTCAACCTCAACCTCTGTAATTCCTTATTAACACCCTAAACCATGCGCAGTGTGGTATGTTAACACCTTACAGTAAAATGAGAAAATATGTGAATTCAAAGTTTCAGAAAATCTTTGTCAGAAGCTTGGTAAAATGGAGAAGAAAATTTGCACTGCCATGTGTTCTAAAGCCCGGTAGTTTGGCCTTGTAATATCTGATACCCTGCAATGCCATAACAGATTTTAAGTTATTTTAGTTACTTCTGGTCCTTGGGGATACAAAATAAGAATCGGAGCAAAAACAAGAAAATCACTAAGGGTACAAACACTTTAAAAGTACACTTAACAAGTAAAAAATTCCTAAATAAAAAAGAACCTAATGGAATGTGTCAGTCTAGTAAGATAGCTTGTCACGTCCAGACATTTCTGATGATCTCAAGGCAGTGATTTTCAAGGCCATTGAGTTGGTGTATTTTCTTAAGGCAGAGTAACACGCTGTATTACTTGGGGAAAAAACACTGAAAACATATCCTCAGTATTTGCAAACCTTGCTGATAAATAGGATCATTAGCTGTGTGTGCCAGTAATTAACATCTCCCCCCATGAGAAATTGTGTGTGGGAGAGTATTGTTGACCGAGGGGTGTGTAGTGTGATAGTGCGAGTGTAGACAGCGAGACATGCCATCATAGCAAATGTGTCTGAGAATGAACACCGATCTCCACCCACTGACTTATTCCAAACTTCCTTTCTTTTTTTTTTTTTGCACGTATCTTCTTTTTAGTCTAAACACCAGGCTTCTCTGGAAGGAAAAGTCTTAAACTGGCATCCCCAGACTGGCTGACAGAAATATCTCAAAGAGCTGTTAAATTCCTGCTCAGGTGTAAAAGGGTGTGCTACTCCTGCAGAGGACAGAGGCTAGGAGCAAAGTGTTCTCTTTCACAGGGCTTATACACAGCCATTCGCAATCAAATGATAGGACCCTAGCAGACAAGAGGCAATCTACAAAGTTTCTTAAAAATCAAACTAATTAAGATACATTTTAAAGAGAATGGCATTTTGAATTCAGAACTTTTATTACCTACAATGCACAGAGGTAAGAAGGCTCTGTGAGATTCCTTTTACTGGAAGTCTTCTGAGCCAGTGTTTGAAATTGTGAATAACCTCTTACATTTAAAGCACGGCCTGCAACAGTAACAGACTTGCTGATCTCACTGCTCTCAGTTTGCTTTATTGTGGTATAGATGGTATGAATGGAAGGCGGTGCCAAACGTCTTTAATGCTTATCACCGTCTATTAAATAAATAAAGAATCATCAATTAAAAATCATCTTTACCTGTAACCAGTAAGCACAACCAAAACAGTGTTTTTGGGGTTGCCGAATTAATTACTGAGCATGTGAAGACAAATACATGTGGCTAGTCTGTGCAAGCTTGCTGAACACTGTAATTAGAATGCAAAGCAGGGATTCTCCAGAAATTGGTTTTCAGCAAGTGTACAAAACATGGATCATGCCCAATTCAATTAAAAACATCTATTTTTAAACTAGGAGCTGATTTAAGGTGTTAAATGGACTTTGAATCCTATGAATCCGGACTGGGCGTAATCTTTTCCATTACGCAACTGCTTCTGACGTCCTGTAGTTATGCAACTCATTTTCATTTTTTTTTCAATATCCATCCAATTGTAATAAGGACATGTGAGCGTAATGTAGCAAAATAATGTACTGGTCAAGCAGGAGCTCCTGCAGCTGAAGTCCTGTTACCTTGGCAGTGCCAATTGTGGAAAGAGCACTTTTCAAAGACCCTAGGTCTTTTTAAGCTGAGGTATCATACATCGCAGGTTCCCTTACATCTTCCCCTGTCGTCAAAATTCTTTTCTAGGTTTAGATGGGAAGACGGACAGAATAATTGGGACCCAGGATCACACCAAGGTGTTCATCTGACAGTAGCTGTGTACCGAGGGGATGGAGTGGGGGTGGGAGTCTACTGGACAGGGCTGTCCTGTGTGACATACCTTGTGTTGGAGGGCTGAAGTGACCCTGGTGGGTCGTCCGCTGGTTGGTGTTGGTGGTCCCAACGCGCATGTTGGCCAAGCTGGCCCTCTGGATCCTCTCCAGTTCGCTCAGCCGGTCAGAGAAGATTGTGGGTTTCTGCTGGTCTTCCAGCTTCTGCCGGTGTCCTGCCAGAGATACGGATAGCCATGTTACAGTCTTCTGCTAACACACCAGTGTTGTTCTGCAGTTGACGGGGGGGAAATATGGCCAAGTAAAACACAGTTCTGACAACCAAGGTTCTGTCCTGGGAAGACAGAGTTGAAGATGAACTATCATTCCCCACGATCCGCAGTAAAGGTAAAACTAGATGTGTAATATTTACACAACCTTTCAATTTAAATGAGTTCTTTCATACTATTATAAAAAGAGACACTATACTCTAGTCAATTCATAATTTTGTATGACTTACACCATTACTCCTGGATGAATGTGTTTTCCTCAGATTGAATAATTAATACCCATTTTAACAGTTCGTTTTTCAGGATAGTTGCTTATTTCAGTTATGCATGTCTTTCTTCACATCTTGTAGGCTAAGTAAAAGTATGTGGCTCATTTTTTGGCATCTGATCAATTGTTTTGCTGTGTGTGGCTTAACACTCCAAAGAGAAACATGTTCAGTGATCTACGTTCCACTGTTAGCACAGACCACAGTGGATTACCGAGGTATTGCCAGCGTCTAGGTCAGTGATTTACAACTACTGTACATGGTTCAGTTTCCATAACTTCTGAGAACATTAACACCAAATCTAAAAATTACAAAACCACTAACAATTAGAAAGCCATTTGCTTAAGCGATAAAAAACGGCTAAAATGTAAAAAAGTGAGTTGGGAGTTCAACAGTAATTCCCAGGGCGCGTTTTTTACGTGAAAACAGTATGCCAACTGGGATGAAGAGTACTGTTTTGGCAGTGATCCATTTGGATTCCATCTCTTCAGGTCACTGCTCATAACGGAAGACAATCACTGGCTCGCAGAGCTGATTCGCAGCAAAGAACCGAGGAGGCCTTCTGGTATAAATCAAAAAATTCTTTCAAGGCCCTGCTATTCGTATTGTGTCAGAAGTAATGAATTTTATATTTACTTGGTTCTTACCAATAAAAATAAGTTGATCACTTTTAAGAAAACCCCTGTGCTGTCACGAGCTGAGGTATGCAGGGTTTTAATAAAGGCTGCTATTGTGCTTCGCATTCATCCTGAAAAAAAGAGGAAAGCCCCTAATGCTGCACAGTCTATTACAGTAGAGTGTTTTCAGTTATTTCTGTACTTCTGCATTTGAATCAGCCAGCTATTCAACTGTGTAGAACTCCACAGGCCCCATTACAGCACTCTTCAGTGTTTGTCAGTTAACAGGTTGAAACAAATCCACGTAAGTGTAAATAGTGAGCCAGAATGTCAGCATTCACGCGCGGTCGTTTATTTGGATAAGCACACAAAGAGCCAGGTGAAACTATGCTGCGTAAAGACTGTACAGTTGAATAATATGGGCTCACGCCATTGTAAAAGCGGTGGCCTTCTAATCTACTGAAGGGCAGATGATAAGATCCCGTGTTTCAATCCAGCAGTATTTTGCCGGTAGGGGTTAACGAAAACGCTACGCAGACAATTTCACCTGTCGAAGCCTTTCCTTAGACGCCACACAAAGAGAAACGGCCCATATCACCCAGCACGGTGGAGTGCGCGGGTGGAAGAGAGAGGTTTAACGATTGCGAACCCCAGAGCGGTATTTACTGCATTACTGAAAAACTTGCTCCTTTCAGGAAAAACAGTGAGTTATGATATCGACGTTTGTTTACTCGGAAGCATTAGCTTCGCTTCCTTGGTATTGCTGTGAGAGGTGGGCCAGGGGGCTCGGCTCCCGACAGCCATAATGGAAGCATTAGAAATGGGTTTAATGTAACTACCAGAACAGTATAAATGTGTTTCAGAGAACATATATAATGCTGCTTTCTTCCTTTCAATCGAGCCCTCTGGCAGCTGTTCCACCCAGGGCAGCTCAACATAAACCTAATGTGAAGCAATAGCTGGGTCTGAATTTGAAGTGTTCACAAGCACCCCAATGGTGTCAGATGCCTGAGGAATGATCACTGGGTTATATATATATATGTGTATGTTTGTTAATTATTATGACAAGGCCTGAACTGAAAAGAGAAGAAAACATCAGTTATTTTTTATTGACGGATTCAATGTGGGGCTAGTTTTAAGGATCCTTGATGGAAGTCATTACTTCTCCAAGGCTTTTCTTTATGAACAGAGCTACAATTTGGCAAAAAAAAATGTTTTGTTGTCAGCCCACCCCAGACCTTATCAGCAGCAGCAATGGATGTAACTGTTCTCAATGTGAACGTGAGGCTTCATGGCCAGTCATGGCGTCTGAATGCAGATGTGCCTGCACTTTCACTGTTCAGCCTCATCATCATTGAATGAAAAATATCAAAATACTGTTCTGTTTTGATTTTTCCTGAGTTGTCCCAAAGCAAAATGCAAAGCCACAGGATCCAGTAAAGATAGCCAATATGTCTTTTTTTTTTTTCCTTGGGAAGGGAACAGTCTCTTCTAGTACCTAACAAAGTCGGCCACTGATAGCTCATTATTCAAATGTTTGAAGTTGGCTTTGCTTACGCCATACGGAAAGGTTCCGGGCATGCCAAGTCTGAGTCTGAGCCTTGGCTCTATCTAACACACTTAAAGACACTGCGCTACTGTCTTTCTGTACAAACTCAGGGAGAGGAGGAAACTGCTGAGAAGCCCCTAGGCTTGTGCATTCTGTTAAAAGATTTATACTCCTTCAAACAACTGAAGGGAAATAATATTCTGCAAAAAAAAAAGCTGATAATTTATATAGTTTTTTAGCCCGTGGTGGTCTGTGATGAATTGGCTGACTCTTAAGGGATGAAAGTAAATATCCCTTTAGTAGGAAATAGACTGGCTGGGGTCCAGTTGGCAGAAGAGAGGAAACACGCTGCACTTACAGTAGATTTGGAATGCCTTAAGAGGGAACAGTGGGAGAAACGTTCATTATGCAAGTCTGGTGTTCATTATGTTGACTTGAAGTTACTATTAGACCAGTAATCAGAAAAGCCATCCTTTTTTTTTTCTTCATAAAACTTTGTAACTATTTCCCATCTGGTCTTCTCTTGTTGTTGTTTGTTGTTTCATTAGTTTTAGGCACAGCACTACAGATTATGCCAAGACCTCTCCATTGCCTATCCCGATGCAGTGTACTGGCAGCAGTTACCATGGTCTTCAGGAAAAAAAAAGGAGAGAATTGAATTTTTGGAGGGGCGCTTGAAAGAAATGTGCACAGATGTTGGTTTTTGTGTGATGCGTCTATTAATCTAGCGACATCTTGGTGGACTGAAATCAAATTCACACTATCAACAGACTAGCTGCAACTATGCAGCCTTTGCCCAGCACAGATCCATGAATGGTTTTGTAGCTAGCTCAGTACTGAGTGTTTCAGAGTGTTTTCCAGAAAACAGAAGTGATACTTTTGCTACCATGATGTCACAGCCCCTTTGAAAGATTCTAGCAGCTGAGGCTCACAGATGCAGTGAATGCAGCTCATGTTGGAAGTGAAAGCTTATAAAGATTTTGTTCATTTACAGGGATGAATAACGGCCTTGACAGTACCAAAGCTTTTTTTTGCCCCTCAAGCTAGTTAGAGTAACATTTTATTTTATTACTTTTTGAGGGGGGGAGAGGGCTGATTAAAAATATTCTAATGCTGTTAACAGAAAATCGGTTTAAAAATAACTTCTGCGTCAAACGCAAGCGTGTTCCTTAATTGCACATCTGCGAAGGTTTTGTTCAACTTTCTCAACGACTGACAACACATCCCAGCATAGTCACATGAGCGCTTTTGCTAAACGGCAGGCAGTTTTACAGATAAGCAGGGCCTATTCAGGATGCATGAGTTTACTATTTATATATTGCACAGCAGGAAGTGGGTTTATGGCACTGTGCAAACCGACCAGGGATTTCCAAATTGCCTGAGAAGGACAGATGTTTGTGCTGAAAAGGCCTCCTGAGGCCTACAAAGTGTGAGGCTGTATCTTCTGTGTGCAAAGGATGTTAGCAGTCGAAGGTGTAAACTGTTAGACAATCAGGTCTGCTATTTTGAAGACAGGGTGGTACTTCAGAACCATTGTCTTAGTGTTCCATAATAATACACCAATATACAATTAAAGGTAAACCATAACGTGATGAGATGCGTTGGAGCTGTTATGGCACACAAGGAAGCTAAAACTACAGCCACGATTTTAAAATATTTGCCTGCTTTCCTTTGACTATTTAGCATGGCTTAAAAAGAAAAAAAAATGGCATAAACTGCAGCCAGTAAAGCAATTAAAGATATTGTTTTTATTTGCCTCAAGCTGCCAGCTCTCTGAAACCTAGGACAATAAAGAAATGAATACTATATTATTTATAACAAGGCTTTTCAGTAATAAACTAAAATACAATTTACTCTTGCTCGGTGCTTTTGTGTCAAGCATGCTCAAAAACCCACATAGCTTGATATGTTTCTCTGTATTTATTACAAGTTTAGCTGTAGTTTCTTGATGTTAGATTGTCAATTAGGTCTTCATTTAAGACTTCAGTGTTTCAAATCCTTGTGAAAAGTGCTTTTTTGGCAGAACTGTTCTAGGTTTTGGATAAAGGCATGGGGATTGATGGGGAATGCCACAGATCTGTACATCTAAAGGGCCTCTCATCTGGATCTGCGTGATGTTGAAAATGATTTCTTTGTCGTGTCGGATCTGTGGACACGACATTCAGGATATTCCAAACTAAACTGCAGGTGCCCCTACTTAGCGCTGAGAGACAGGTTATCCTTTGCGGAGGCTGCCAGCAATAACAAGTTAGGATGGCGAGCTTTTGAATTCGAAACCTTCTTGAAGTGAAGGCAGCAATTTAATGGTGATCAATGCTGATGTCGACATCCAGTGGGTTGAGAATTACCATCTGGTACTGAAAGGTTTTTATTTCCCATACATGTGCTACATACACCCTTATGAATTTCTGCCGCTATAAATCCAAAAGATTTTTTTTTGCCTCTGCAGTTTTCCCACGAGTGTGCCATGCTTATACCACGCGTTCACTTTCCTCGATTATGATTTGATTTACT